ATGTATATATTGCTGACCATCAGATTTTTTACATAACTCGGACAAACCCTTTAAGGTTTTTTTGGCATTTTATATCTTAAATGCAGTTATGTGAATTAATTAATAGTAATTTGGACTTTAAATTTGGTTAAAAACCCATAATATAAAAAAGTACCAAAAATTAAAAAAAATGATAAATTTGAAGACAATTTTGCATGTTGTAGCAAATCATGACGTCTAGGAGTATTTTCAATATTTTATTTGTTTTCAGCACACCAAAATACATGGAAATTAGATGAAAATAATCAAATAGCTTTTTAGTCGCAGACCTGTGAATTAAACCCACAAAATGGAAATTATGCTAAGGCTGATAACTTTTCTTCCAATTATTATTGTTGTTGTTGTTGTTGTTGATAACTTTTCTTCCAATTGTTGTTGTTGTTGTTGTTGTTGTTGTTGTTATTATTATTATTATTATTATGCAATACCAGCTATTTTAGCTATAGAACTATGTTTACTAAATCCCACAGCCTCTTTCCATAGCTCTCTAAAAAGTTGTACAGCATCTTTATATTATATTGACCACTATAAGTAGATACCCATGACTGATTCTTGTTTCCTGCAAGGGGAAACTGGTACACCCAGGTGAATACCTTTTCAAAGCAGGTCTATTGCACCATTCAGGAATCCTAATTCTAGATACCCAACTTAATGATGACCTTAAACCAATAAACTGAGTTTATCATCTTGGCAACATGTAACAATAGAACAACTGCTGATTATATTCTTAGAAATCATGAATGTGTGAACCATGGTATACATGAATCCTGAACTTAAATGAGAACTATATCAAACAGCTGCTTTAAACAATAAAAAAGTGAAGTCTAAAATTCAAATCTAGCAAACTACATGAATTGGCCAATTTTAAATGTATTTTGGATTTCAAAATGTCCTATCTTAAAGGATAAGGAGAAATGGGGTCTTAGCTTCCTTGGGTTGTTAAGACAGCTGTGATTTTTATGATTTTCATTTGAATGAACAATGTGATTTAGATATAAAGTTTGATATTTTGTTTAATCACCTATTTGGAAACAGTGACTTTTGCCTCTTGTAAATGAGCAGATTAGCCTATTGCAAACTTCTATTCTCTTATCTCTTCTTCCAAAGACTTCTCATTCCTTAATATACTCCTTCAAATGGGAGAGGCAAAATAATGGCCCATGAGCTGACAGAATCCTTCCTTCCCATTGGGATGAATGAAAGTGAAATTTGTCTTATAAA